TTGAGTCAGTACATGCTACATGGGTTTCTACTTTCTACTTTCTTTATCAAACTCTGGTGGGTTTCCATGTTACCATAAAAAGGTCGCATTTGGTATCCAACACCTAGTTAAAACCACAATGAATGTACGATTTCAGCCAAATTAAAATAATAAAACCAATGTGCAGAAATTTACTGATTTATTTAGATATATATGTGCGGAATTACAATTTGCACTTGTAAAAAGAATTTGACAGGAATATATTAAAGCCTACAGGACAGCTATAGCTTGGAATGCCAATATGTTTTCACAATTCAAATAGTTTAAAGCATTTTTTTTTTGTGTTTTATCGTAGTCTAGAGCAATATAATTTGTGTTATAGTCATTATTTATTCAAAGATTATTTGACTACGTTCTCAAGTTTAAAAGCATCTTCTTCAAAGATTCTTTAGGTTATATATATTATTCATGGACTAGTTTCATCTTAATGCACAAATAATTTATACTAATATATACAAGAAATATTTTTATAATAATTCTTTTTTATCTTTATATTTGTTGAATAATTACATCCTTCAGTTATTAAAATAAAAGTTAATAATCTTTTTTGATAACTATTATTCTCTTTTAATGACTATTCACTTCATTATCATTTATTTAAAAAAAAAATATTAAAAGATACAAAATGTCTTTTTAAAATTATAACTTTATATTACATTATATGCTTATATCAAAGTTTGCTAAAATTGAACAACAATTTAAAAGTAATTAAAGTATTTATATTTTAATATATTTTGAAATGTATATATTATGTTAATTTTATTCTATAAAAACGAGATAACAAATCATTTTGAATTAATATAAAATTATGTATATATAATTTAGGAGTAAGGAATTTTTAACCTAAGGGTAAGTTTTGAAAAACTCATATTTAATTGAAAATTATTAAACGATGTAATTGTTGGTAAAAACTATATCAATGACATTTGAACCCTCATTTAGTTCACCATAATGTTAGTGTAAATTGACAAATATACAACCTAAATTTTAATTATATCTCAATTTTTATTCTATATTTGTGTTACAAAAGATTTATTTATTTTTTGTCCAGTGATCCATTATTCTATTGGATTAAAAATAAAGGTGTCAAATGAGCTGAGCTAACTTAATGTATACGGAACAAATATTATTTTAGATTAAACTAACCTTATTTATATTTTTTTTAGCTGCTATTTTGGTCCAACTTGGCACATGTCCAACAAATTGGCATAGTTAAAAAAATATATTAATAAAGTAAATATATTTTTTACAATAAAAAATAATAAAAATATATAATATTATTAATTTATACTATATACTAGTTACAAATAAAAAGTGCACCAATCACAGTCATATAAATAGTTCCAAATGTTTATACATCAGAAGTCAACTATATTCTACCTAAAATAATAATTAACACGTTATTTAGCTTCTCTTGTTCAATTAAAAATTTGTTGAAGTGTTTCTATAAATGAGTTTAAAGTCAAAATTTAACATATTATTCACTACTCAAACTCCATCAAATTCAACATGCATATTTATATGGAAGATTATGTTTGATAATACACTTAGCAAATGCATCTATATAAGTCTTATGCTTAAATTTTTACTGGTTAAACTAGTTTTATTACTTAACATGACTCTAACATCTTGATGTTTAGGAGATATAATACATTAAATAATATGACGTCTTAAATGATTAGTACTTGAAACAAGCGCGGAGAAACTCTCACAATGATTAAAATTAATTCTTGACTTTTAACCACAACTCTTTAGATAAACACAAAAGAGTGCTAAACCATTATTGCTATTATATTTTGTTCTATTATTTTATAATTTGCAAATTGACAATGACAATAGTTCAAATTATTATTTTTTATTAGTTTAATGTGTCAATCCATAAACTCGGGGGTTAGCTTGATCTGAACTCATTTGGCCTATTGGATTAAGTCAAATTAAATGACTTGTTTATATTTAAATCATCCTTTTTAAAACTCAACTTGACCTTATTTATGGGTTGGTCAGGCTGACCCAATGTATCAGACCTAAATTGATAACTCTAATTAAAGACTAATCTAATTTATAATATTATGACTGTTACTAACTCAAAGAGTTTTCATATATTGTGAGAATCAAATACAAATTTTTTGCTAAATAGATTATCTCTATAACATGTGTCAGGGTGTGTAATCACTATGTCAACCCGCCAAATTAAAAAAAAAATTATATATTATTTTAAATAGAATTTAAACTTCTAATGGATTATTTTTACTAAGGAAATAACAATTTTTAGTAAACCCTACATATATATAACTTTTTTTTTCTATTTCCATTTTAAGCCAAATTAATATAAATAATCTATAGCTTTCCATTTTATTTTTCTTCACTCGTCTTCCATACTGATTTTTTCCTAAGCCAAACAAATCTTAATGAACAAGACTGATACTTTCAATAAAATTCAACTGTTTAGGATATTCACAATTCGGTTGACTATATAAATAAATTAATGTGTATTTTGGATCAATTTAAATATTAAATTAAGGTGACTTCCGAATGGTAACGGTAACGAATGAACATGTACTTGATTTAATTTAACGCATTTTTTTTTTTGAAAGACAAGAAAGATGGAAATAGATTCTCTACCGTCACTGTATATGACATCCTGGCCATTGAAAACAAAATTTACATATATTAAATATAAATAAAACACAATTAAAAAATATTGGGCCATAGGATGTTAACTATAGGATCGTGTAGTTGCTTTTCAACAGCAGGGAATTAAGTCTCGAGAAAGACCATGCTATTAACTCAAAATAGTTACAGCGTGCATGATGTAACTGTTTGTTTTAACTGCTAAGATAAAACAACAGAAAATACAAACCCTCTATTTCTTAATCCCCGTTACAAAATCACGTTTTCAGCTGTATCAGGAAAATAAAACTCTTGCGTAAACAATATCCAAAGACAAAACACGGACTGGTTTTAAATTTCAGGAATATACATACACGCTGTTTGAACTCCATAGTTTTAAAGTTTGACTTCATTTAAAAAAAAATTGCATTGCATCTCTTCTAAATACATGCATTTCAAAATAATATGATTATATTACTACTGGTCTTAGACGATGAAACATTTTTTAAAAAATGATGTGAATGCCACTAAAACTTGTGTCCTAAGCATGTTGGGGCGTGCTATGATTAAGGAATTTGAATTTGTTTTGGGCATCATAGACAGAACATGTCCTGCCGCGTAGGACTCACTGTTGTGTCTATCCCAAAATTTCAAACCCTATAAGGGCATGGGATCCTGTTTTTATGGCTCCAGATTTTCCCAAAGCACAATCATTGTAACAGGCAGTCCTCCAAACATGTACCAAACACCCCATTTTCGTGAATCACAAATTCCTGACGGTAAATCAGTAAAACATTGATTTTTTCATTTGCCCATAAGATTCTGTTAATCATTTTGCATAAAGGAGAGAAAATAATTAGTCAGTTACCAATTTTTTCAAAGGCTGTGTGCTCTGATGTTTCACTCCTGCTTTTTTACTTTCTTTGAATAAAATAGCAATCAAGCAAATGTTGACCCTACATGGCATTAAAACCCTAGACAAAACTCAATGGATTGCCTTCAAAAATAACTGTTCAAAAGATCCTGAATATAAAAAGGGAAGATATCACTATCAAGTTGTACCCTCCGAATCTCTAATTGGTAGATTGATTAATCTAGGTATCCATATTACCACACCATTTCCTCTAAATGTCTAATAAATCGAGTAAGTTTAGCAGAGACTCATCACACCTTTAATAATTAAGCACGGAGAGTCATGTATCTTTCAAATTGATATTCGACTGAGTAGACCAAATCAATGATTATGCATAGGATCTTTGCTGAAATGATTCATTGAGATTAGTCAAGATCATACTCTCATGATTTTCGCACATATTTAATTATCACTATAAATGTGATGTATAGGCTAACTATAAAAAGGGGAAATAATACATATTTTTAGGGATTGAGATTAAAGAAAAAGATTTATATCTTTAGTATGACATTCTCGTATATAAAGATAAAGTATTTTTGGATAGAAGATAGATTACACTAATAAAATGTTGTAAGTTAAGATGATGACTAAGTTCTCTTAGAATTGGTATTCCTAAAAATAATTTGATTGCTATCTTTCTACTGAAATTAAAAATAAATAAAAAAATCCATGTGTGCTTTGACCTTTTGTTGCCTTTCTTTTGAAAAGGAATAGTAAATTGTTTTGGGGCCAAATCAAATCCTCCGGTCTATCCCATTTTTCCTTCATTTTCATATCGGGGCATGCCTAAAAACATAAATTCCTGCAAATTTAAGATTGTGAGCACAGAAATTTCCCATCAAAAAATTAAATATACTTTCTTAAGTGAATTTAATATTGTTCTTCCATTATAATAACAAAGTTTTACTTTAATAATTTATATTAATTACTACAAACTGTTGAAAGTGAATTTAATATTGTTCTTCCATTATAATAACAAAGTTTTACTTTAATAATTTATATTAATTACTACAAACTGTTGAATGTGTGGATCGGTCCACCACAACTAATTGTTTAAATTTATTATAAGTTAACTTTTTTTATCTATCAAAATTACATTAATAGTAATGAAATTTAAATTTAAAATTTTGAATATATTATCCAATCTTTTATAATTTCATTACTGACTTTAATAATTTTATTATAAGTGATTTTAAATTTGAGTGATAAGTATATCTTTGTTGAAAGAAAATATTTTTCTCATTGGTTATTAAAATAATTTAAAAAAAAACTAAAGTTATGTGTACAGTATTTATTAATATTATTCTATCATGTAACATGATGTGATCTTCTCCTTTCTGCCCTCCTCGTTTTTCTTGTTTTGAAAATTAATTTTCATTCCTTTTTACTTTTATTTGTGTGTGTTGTGAGTTGTATATTTCAAGTGGCAAAAGGCCCCCCTTCCCTACAACCCTAGTCACTTTTGGGGACTACAAATTCATTCTCACCCTCCCTCACTTCTTCCCATGCCAATGCCTTCCACTCTCTCCCCCTCACACACCTCTTCTTCCTCTCTCACTCTCGCATAACACAACAAACACTCTCTTCCCCTCTTAATTCCCACCTTTGAACATGACTACAATTGTCTGCCACGAGTCAAGAGCACTCAAACTCTGGCTCCCTTCCTCAAAGCCAACCCCTCCCCAATTCATCGACTTAGCCTTCAAATCCTGCTTATGGGATTCGAATCAAGCCACCACCAAGCCCCACATCGAAGAAAACAAGCCCACGCCCTCAACCTGGAGCTTTATAGAAGCACTCTCCAACTGCGCGAAAGAACCATCGCAAAACCAGACCACCTACGTGCACTCTCAGCAGAAACGCTCCTCGCCCCTCCTTGGCCCAAAGAGCCTCGAACTCTGCACCGAAAACCTCGGTAACGAAACCGGCACTGACATTGCCCAAAACAGCATTGAAAATGACATCCTCTCTTCGGTCACACGGGAACAAGAACAAATTCAGCCTCGTCAATTTTCAACACCCAAGAAAGCCAAAACCCAGAATTTTCCACCCCCTTTGACAACGATTAGGGGATCAGAATCTCTTCGCGTGAGACCCCACCGCGAAGATGGAAGGTTAGTGATTGAGGTCACCAAGGTCCCACCTAGTGTCTCGTGCTTTCAAGCTCAAAGAAGCCATGGCCGCCTTCGCCTCTGCTTTTTGACAAATCCAAATTTTGACTCCCGAGAAGAAGATGATGACTTTGATGAAAACGAACCCTTATCCAATGAAAGTGAATTAACTGAACAAATAAAAGAAGACGAGGAAACAGGGGAGGAACAAGAAGAAGAAGAATGTGTTGCATGTGGGTGCGAAGAGAGTAATAATTTTTATATGCCGAGAAGGTGCAAAGAAAGCGGTGAGCACGAGAACAATGAATATTTGTTGTTAAATTGGGGTGACTCACTTTGTGTGGCTACTTCCTAAAGCTAACTAGCTAGCTGCTACTACTACCTCTGAGATTTTTGTATCTCTATTAATAAAAAATTTACATTTGTCCTTTTCCCTTTTTGTCCTTTTTTTTCATCTTTACGCCAAGAATCATGGAATTTCCGTGTTGCTCCATAAACTATGGTTCTGGTCGGTAGTTAATATCGTTACTCTGTTTCCAGGACACGCATACCAACACGCTGAAACTATGGCTTGTTTGGGTGGGTACCCGAGAGTTTTAATGTCAGCAATTGATTCGCAACAAAAGGCACGTTTTGAATGCCCGTGGTTCACGCAGGCTATTTTCAGGATAGCAGAAAAGGAGACAAGGGTTGTTAAGTTGCCATACGTAGTAGAAAAACAGGATTGTGAAATTGATAGAAGTTGGTGCAGAGTGGGTATGTATCTATGCGTGGATGTCACTCACTTATCTGAGGAATCTTCTTGAAAGATTACAAAATTACCAAAATATGTTAAATTATGAATTAGAGTTCATATTCGGTGAAAATTAGAAATATAAAAATTACTTTACTCTAATAACAATTAACATCATGATAGGAAGGAGTTCTATTTTTTTTTTTTAAATTATAAGGTAAAAAAATAAAGAAAGATTCAAATTCTTATTCAAACTTTTAAATTTGTTGACTTTTTTACGATTAAAAGTCGTAAAAATAATAATTTTAATTAATTCATATTACAAATCTTTTTACAGTAATTATATATAAAAATAAAACATATAAAAATGTGTTAAAGAAAGTATTTTCTCTTTGGTATACTTCCCTATATTAACATGCTTTTATTTTAACGAAAATCTTACATTAAGTAGTAAAATAGTTATAATAGTGTATATATCTGAAAATAATTCTCATTTTATAAACTGATTTTGTAAGAATAAGTGAAACATAATCTCACATTATAAAATGATATCATAGTTTATTATAATAAATGTTGTAAAATCTATCATTGTCATTGACATTTAGTCACTTACAGATGTTTAGTTCTACAAACTCTATGTTCGATATGTTTAGTTATCAACAAGAGTATGTTAAAGATCCTATAATGATCTACATTGATTAATGAGATGATCATAATAATGTATATAGGTAGAAATAATCTTCGTCCTATAAATTAGTTTTGTAAGTTGAGTTAAAGTTAATCTCACATAGTAAGATATTCAATTAAATTTTTATAATTAAACTTTTTTGAGATTTTTAAAGCCTTCAAAAAGTAGTCACTTTTTCTAAAAGTGTTTGAACTAAAAGGTTATAGACATGTTTGATTAAGTTTCTCTAAAAATATTTATAGGAGACAGAAATATGAAAAAAAAATCATAATAAATTTCATCATAAATTAAAATTAGTTTATGCATAAATAATTTTTTTAGAGAAGCTAATAAAAAAACTTCTACAAAATAGTTTATAATAAACTAATTTTAAGTTATAAAAAAAATAATTTATTTGTTTCCTTTATATATTATCCTCCTAAAAATACTTTTAGAAAAAGTTTATCCAAACATTATTATAGGAAATGTTAAGATATTGTCTTTAATATACTATATTCAATAATTGAATTACCACATTTACTTGGAATTCATCGTTGTATGATTATTGTTTATTTAATATTTTAATCAAGTATGAGTGACAAATGAATCTATTTATCTATTATCCATTTGATCTATCTACAAGTAAATCTATCTAAATTATCCATTATAATAAAAATAAATAATAGATCAAATTCAATTTATTTATTTAATTTTATGGATGGTTAGTGTTTGTCCGTTATTTTTTTCAGAATCCTATTAGATTACATATGAGATGTTCATTGAATTAAGATTTCAAAATATTATTTTAACATTATTTTTTATTTTAAAATATTATATAAAAATATAATGACTTATAAAATAAAAATAAAATAAAAATTACTTCTCCGCAACTTTTTTTTATTTTTTATTAGGTACATAATCGCATGACATATTTTTTTATGTAATTGTGCTAGTCTGGCAAATTCAAGGAAACATCAGACAGAGCAGGTGAAGGAAAAACAATAATTGCAGGGAATACTCTAAACCCATAGTTGACTGCAGAGTCATTTGGATTCCAAAAGATTTTGACTCAATGTTTGGTTGAGTTGGGTCGTCTATGCTAGCCATTGCAATATATAAAGTGCAAAAAGCATAGCATAGTAGTGGTACTGCTACCCAAGATTAAGCAATAAGCATGGCTTCCTTCAAGCTTGTCTACTACCTCTTAACCCTTCTCAACTTCATCAATTTGGTATTCACTAAAGCGCAGGACGACCTTGGTTTTATGGACAACTTTTGTTCTGAGAACCTAACCACACCAAACAGCCCGTTCCAGTCGAACGTGAGGAGCCTTCTCTCTGACTTATCCTCCCACGCCACCGCTAATAACAATCCATACTACAACACCACAGTCGCCACTGCAAACCACTCCCACACAGCCTATGGAATGTTCTTCT